TGCTTTCAGAGTGGTTTTTAACAGTCCATTGCATAGCTCAATTTTTCCGGAGGGTGGTGCATGGTAGGACAGAGGATATACCCACTCGATACCACGTTCTTTGGCCCAGTGGTCTGTGAGATTATTTTTTAAAGGGGTCCCATTATCTGACTGGATTCTTTCTGGAGTGCCGTGTCACCACAAGATCTCCCTGAACCCTCGTGCCGCCTCAGTTTTATACTGTGGGATGGAATACTCTTGTTGGCTGGTTCTGCTGAGCTCACCCCAGGACACTGTCCCGGCCCGGGGAGCGCGGCGAGCGGTTCCTTGCGGGATGGGGGTGCTGGAGCATCTCGCCGCGCCCCGTGGGTTGCAAGCTGTGGTCTCTGTGAAATGCTCAGATGTCCTGTCTTATTCCCCACAGAGATCTGATTCCCTGAGAGCGTTCAGAAACGGTGCCCAGTTAACCATTCTGAAGTTAGGTTGTGACGTGGATGGCTTTCAGTAGTTCCTGTAATTCCTGGAAACAAAAATTATTTTGAGCCCTCTGCTTAGCTTGAGCCATACTTTACTAATGCATCCTGAGAGCAAAGTGTTGGGTTCTTTTTCTTGCTTAGCACTGATGGTTTTGTGTTTGATTTTGTTTGATTTTTGCATCTCTTGGCATTTTACCATGTTGGATAATGTTTCAGTAATTTACACTGGGTCTGTATTTCCTCTGAAATAACGTTTGCAAAAAAATATTTGAAAAGTTAAAATTTTATTATGGGTTTGGGGAACTCTGGCAGATCCACGTGGTTGGATTTTACGGTGTTTAGCAGAGGAAATACAGTATTGGTCATGCAACTGATTTGCGTGAGGAATGCTTACTGTGACATGCAACAATCACTGCACCGGTATTTCTGAAAGTCTATAGGTGGACAAGATTTTCTGGTAAATGTTTGGAAGTTACTATTCGCATTTCTTTTGATACTGTGATTGAAAATTGCTTTAAATACTCTCAAGTCTTTCCCAGGTTTTCCATCTGGGACACAAACATCTTAATTTCTTAACAAATTACATATCTATCTGTGAAAATGTGTATATATATTTTATATACGTGAGTATATAAAATATTACAACATGTGTAATGTATCGAGTCTTACTGTACGAGCTGCTTTGTTTGCCGAGGGTGGCTTTAGAGACGTCTTAATGTGGAGAGCCACAGCACGCCTGTCCAAGTACAGCCAGCCAACCCAACTTCTGTGCAAATACGCACAAACTTCAGAAACGGCCGTTAAGCCCTGTGCCGAGATTTCCCTTGCGCACAGAGGAGCCTCTGGGACGGGGACAGCTCGTTGGTGTCTCATTCTGCATTGCCGGCTGTGCTCAGGCTGGCAAACCGGTCTTTTTTTGGAACAAGCACGCTCCCTACGTGGATTTTGTGTGACGGCCTTGGTACAGAAAAGCATTGATCAACCTATAGGCTGCGGGGTTTCTCGCGCGCACTAACTGATTGCCGGGGGATTCAGTCACAACAACGTTGATTGAAAAAGTGTTTCTTAAAAGTGTGGTGGTTTGTTGTTGTTTCGGCCATCACCGAAGGAATAAAAGCCAGCGCCGCTGCTTTCGGCTGCAGCGCTTCCTTTGGGAGCGCTGCTTCTGATCGCTTCTGCTGAAGAAGTGCTCGGCTGCGTTTCTGTACGTCTGTGACGCAGTCCGGTCGCACCGCGCTCAGTAGAGGATTGCACTGCGCAGTCTTTTTTAACCAACGTTGTTAAGTTTGACTTAATCCCTTTCTTTTGCCTTTTTTTTTTTCCTGTGGGGCAAACGAGAATGGAGGTGGGTGATGTAAAATGAATGTCAGTTGCTATGCACAAGGGGAAACAAATCCTTACGTCTATAAACCAAGCAGGGTTTTCTTTGTTTAAAGGTGGAAAACTGTTGTGCTGTGAGTCCTGCCCAGCTTCCTTTCACCCCGAGTGTCTCAACATAGAAATGCCTGAAGGGTGCTGGAATTGCAATGACTGTAAAGCTGGCAAGAAGCTACGTTACAAGCAGATTGTTTGGGTCAAGCTTGGAAATTACAGGCAAGTTTGCTGTTTTGGGGGGTGGGGGTTAATGCTTTGGATGGTTTTGATGTGCTGTAGACTTACAGGAAGACAAAGTGGCCCAGTCTTGGTAAACAAGAACTAGAAAAACAATAATTTGTAGACTTTGTGTCAGGCATCGGTGTTGCCCTTGAAATTAAATTCTGCTTTTTGCAGGCAGTGATGGATACTTGGTGGCTCTTTCCTTGGCTCTCTAGAGCGTAATAATGATACGGGGAACCAGGGGGGCTTTCTAACAGAGCCGGGATGGCCCAGCCTGCGCTCGCTGTTGGGCACCTGCAGGATCACCAGCACTTGTGGCTGATCTTAGAAATTCACTCTCATGCCACAAACGTTCTTAGAAGGCGTTTCCAGAATTTAGAGGGAGAATTTTTTTCCTGTTCTGCATGGTGCTTCTCAAGTAGTGCCCGCAGGAGCCTGCATTGCTTTAGGAAGGAGTTAATATCTTAAAGAGAGAAAAGCCGGCTTTTCTTTCTCGATCCAGTTAGGCAAGTGCAAAAGCTAAAGCTGTGGCTCAGGAAACTTACACTATTTTTTTTTTTTCTTTTTTTTTCTCTGCTTTTCAGGTGGTGGCCAGCAGAGATCTGCAATCCCAGGTCTGTGCCTCTCAACATACAGGGCCTCAAACATGATATCGGGGACTTCCCAGTATTTTTCTTTGGTTCACATGACTACTATTGGGTACACCAGGGCAGAGTTTTCCCTTATGTTGAAGGAGATAAAAGCTTTGCTGAGGGGCAAACTAGTATTAACAAGACCTTCAAGAAAGGTAAAATCAAACAAAGTTTCTAGTGGTTTATGACAAAAATTCCACGTGTTTGTGTCTCCATCACCACTTAACCTGCATGGGAATATTATGTGCTTAGTGTTCTGTGTTCACGTAAAATTGCAAGCATTATGTAGATCCCTTGACTGCAGATAAAAGTATATTTCTTTAAGTGCCTACTCATTGTGTGTGATTGTGGGAAAGTTCAGTTTTCCACAAACTGGGAAATGTGAAGCTGGAGCTTGGGCTCTGCTGCATGGGATCGCTCTTCAGTATCTCAGTACCTGGTGACAGATCCATGATATGCTGCAATAACTCATTTTTCACTTGTGTTTTTGTTTAGAGAGTTCTATCACTAGCTTAAAAAAAAGTAAAATGCATACATGTGTATGTTTGATTAACAGCAGCTGGTGTTAATTGCTTTCTATTTCCAACTCCCTTGCACAGCACTTGAAGAAGCAGCAAAGCGCTTCCAGGAACTGAAAGCACAAAGAGAAAGCAAAGAGGCACTGGAAATTGAAAGGAATTCAAGGAAACCTCCACCTTATAAACACATTAAAGTGAGTTGGCTTCTTTCTTTCCCTTTTTTTATTCTGTGCATGAATAAGCTGTGCATTTAAACCAACATTTACAACAATTGATGCTTGAGGAAATCCAAATAAATCATTATGCTCTTCTTTTTCGGTAGTGTTTTGTTCTGTCTTACCGTAGCATAAGACATTCTTTAGCAGAGTATTTGTGACAGAGTTACCTGTTGAAGATGTACAATTTGAACTGGGGAGAGAAACTCGTGCTGTGCTGTCTGGAGTCAAGAGCTTTAATGTTCTTCGCTCTTGGCTTCTGTGAAGGGTGTGTGTCCCCAGTGGAGGCAGCAGTAGAGTGGCAGCTGCCATCCACCGATGTGTCTGCTGCTGAGCTGCATGAAGTGTGTTTGTTGTGACAAATGGGTCTAGAGAAACAATAACTCCATAACCACTACTTTCTTTCCTTCTCCTGTCGGTCGATGATTGGCCTCCATTAAAGCTTTTCTTTTGTCTTTGTCATTTACTCTTTTTTTTTCTTCCTCCTCGTTCCACAGTCCAACAAGGTAATAGGGAAGGTTCAGATCCAGGTGGCTGACCTGTCCGAAATCCCTCGCTGTAACTGCAAGCCGTCGGACGAGAACCCCTGCGGGCTGGACTCGGAGTGCCTGAACAGGATGCTGCAGTACGAGTGCCACCCCCAGGTGTGCCCCGCCGGCGAGCGCTGCCAGAACCAGTGCTTCACCAAGAGGCTCTACCCCGACGCCGAGATCATAAAAACCGAGCGGCGCGGATGGGGCCTGAGGGCAAAAAGGAGCATTAAAAAGGTAGGGTGACAAAGGTGGTGACAGCCATCCGCGGGTGGCGCGGGAGAGACGGCAGCTCTGGGTGCCTTAGGGGAACGCACGCAGAAGGGTTAAAAAGACGTGAAGCCGCTCTAGGTGAAGTGGTAACAGTGAAATCCGCTGTTTTGGCAGAAGCGTCTTAACCTTGATATTAGCAGAAAAAATGCTTTTTTCTATGCTGCTTCCCTTGGCCATCCCAAGAAGTAGTAACGGTATTTTTGTTTTCCTTCTCAGGGGGAGTTTGTGAATGAATATGTCGGTGAGCTCATTGATGAAGAAGAGTGCAGACTGCGGATCAAACGTGCACATGAGAACAGTGTAACCAATTTTTATATGTTAACTGTAACAAAGGTAAATATTATGTCTCGTTTGATATAAACTGTTAATGGTTGTAACTGGGGGCAAAATGCTGGTGGACGCATCGTTCCGCGTAGGAAGAAAATGTGTGTGACGTAGGGTGAAGTGGCCTGTGCCCGAGGTTGTGTGCTCTGTGCCTGTTTCACTTCTGTAAGCCCAGATATTCAGACACTTTGTCACAATGCTAACTCTGCAGGGAAATCTTACCACTTCTAACTCATTTAAAATAAGCGTATTTTTTGCTGCCTTAGCCATTAGTGGTCACTTGGCAGCAGGAAACCTTTTGTTGTTTGCAAGTGCTAAATATGTCTTTGTCTTTTTATTCGAAGGACCGGATAATAGATGCTGGCCCAAAGGGGAATTATTCTCGCTTTATGAACCATAGTTGTAATCCAAACTGTGAAACGCAGAAATGGACGGTGAACGGGGACATCCGCGTGGGGCTGTTTGCTCTGTGTGACATTCCTGCAGGTGAGGAGGTGGCACTGGTGTGCACGTGTGCTTCTGGCTGGAAACGGCCAAGTTCCTCTCCTGTCTGACGTGGTATTATTGCCTTTCCACCTTCGCTGTTTCCCCCGGTCTGTCCCTTCAGCGAGCTCTGTCTGATGGTGGAGCTGCTGCTCGGGTCAGATCTGGGCAGAATTTGCTACTTTCAGGGTTTATGACGTCGGTGTGCTATTTCAAGCTTGCCCTTTTAAACCCGTTGCTGCTCGTCCTCGCAGACTGTGAAGAGATAAATGCTACTGAAACATCATTGTTACAAGCCTGTCTTTCCTCAGTGCCCACGTGGGTAAATCGTTCTCCTTTACATTTTTAGGAATGGAGTTAACATTTAATTACAATTTGGATTGCCTGGGCAATGGTAGGACTGAATGTCATTGCGGAGCAGAAAACTGCAGTGGTTTTCTAGGAGTGCGTCCAAAGGTATGTGGCTGAAAATCGAAGCTTCCCTTCCCAAATCCAGCGAGTGAAGGGCTGAGAGAGGTTTTTGTTTTGTGTAACTTATGTCCTCCCTCGAAAGTCTCTGAAGATTTTTGCGGTTATGCACTGTGGTGCTGTTCTGTCTAGGGTAAAGCTGATTTACCAAATTGTGTTAATTCAAATACGTGTGGATGGGCATTTCTGGGTTTTGTAGCTTAAAAACTTTTCAAGGTGGATTTAATTGAGGCACAGTTCATGCAAATAATAACCGTGAGTTGAAGAAATGAATTTTGAAGCAGGGAATTTGTAAAGTGACCGTGTGCTGTGGTCTTTGTCATTGCCAGACAGCGTTTGCAACAGCAAATGAAGAGAAGGTGAAGAACGCCAAATTAAAGCAGAAGAAACGGAAAATAAAAACAGAACAGAAGCAGATGCACGAAGACAACTGTTTCCAGTGTGGCGATGGGGGAGAGCTAGTCATGTGTGACAAAAAGGACTGTCCCAAAGCGTACCACCTCCTATGCCTTAACCTGACCCAACCACCTTTCGGTAAGAGCAGTCGTGGGGCTTCCTCCTCGTCTTTTCCTTCCGGCACAGGGCAGTGTCTGAGCTGGAACCCAGCGTTCAGTCACACCCGATGCAGCACCTTGGCTTTCGCGGCACGGCGGGTTTGTAGGAGCACATCAGGGGGCGGTGTGCCTAAATATTCAAACGCATTTTTACACAGCTTGTTCTTCTCTGAGCCGTTTCTCACTTAGTTTTTCAAAACTAATGCAATCAGTCTTCTACATTAAAGCGTGCTGCAGCTGAACTAAAACTTCGTTTGGAAATAGCTGTCTAAGCACGTAGAATCATGGAATGTGTTGGGCTGGAGAGATGCTTATAAATCAGAAAAATATACAGAACGAACTCTGTTTCCAGTCAGATTCTTGTAAATAAGAAGCAGAAGCAGCAACTAAAATATGAGATGATTTTTCAGGGCTTTCTTTACGTTTGTGTCAACAGCCACAGCGCGGAGCAGAGGTTAAAGGGGGCGCGGTCCTTGGAGAGCACTAATTTCATTTTCCTTCTCTCTCTTCTCCCCCTCCCATCTCCAGGAAAGTGGGAATGTCCGTGGCATCAGTGCAACATCTGTAGCAATCCTGCGGTTTCGTTCTGTGAGTTTTGCCCTCATTCGTTCTGCAAAGATCACGAGAAGGGAGCCCTGGTGGCATCGGCGCTGGACGGCCGGCTCTGCTGCTCCGCACACGACCCCAAATCTCCTGTGGCACCCGAGTACTGGAGCAAGATAAAATGCAAATTGGAATCGCAGAATCCTGCAGAGGAAGCAAAGGAGTGATTTTTGTTGTTGTTGTTAAAAAAGCAAGGAGAGGAGGAGCAAGCAGGCGATGAACTTGAAGGGACTGCTATGACACATTCAGTCTTTGTCATCAGAGCCATCGTGTGTGGACTGGGAGCAGCAGCATCTCATGTTAGCGAGCAGAAGCAGGCGGTGGTGTTTGGTTTTTGTTGTTTGGTCTTTCTTTTACCCTTGAATGTGCTACAGCAGCTCTTACAGTTGGAAACCAGAAACGTCTTGGCCTTCAAAGAAAAACGTAGACCTTTTGACAGTGAAAAGAATATTCTTAAAATAATGTTCTTTTGAGTGTAGAAAGCAAAGCATAGCAACATATTTATTTATTTAATTTTTAAAGGGTGTTGGAGATCTGGTTTTGATAAGTCAGCGTGTCTTTAAAAACAAAATAGCAAAGCCAACGCAACTTTTATGTCTAGCTTATGAAAAGAATAAAGCCTCCCCACTCCGGGTAACGTTGAGATGCCATAAAGACAGATGTGGCTTTCAGACCAGGTGACTCAGAAATGCCTCCATTCCAGTACTTGTTTTAAAGGCATTTTGAGAAGGTAGGTTTTGGATCATGTTAACTTATGAATATTATTGTAAAGCTTTTCCTGTGAGAAATCAGGGATGGGATTTCTCGGAAGTTCCAGTAACAGGAGATCGAGCGTTGTTTAAGGACAAGAGAGCTGTAACTGGTGTTTGCAGACAGGGAGGAATTCAGAAAGAGCTTTAATTGCACGGTGGTCGCTTCTCCGTCCCGCCTCATTTGGTGGGAGAGCTCCCGGCCTTGGGGACGTGCCGCAGCACCCGTGGACCCAAGGTCCTCACCCTGCTGGCGGGAGCTCTGCGCTGGCTTCTACAGCAGCTGCTGGGTCCGCGCGGGCCTTGTGGCGGTTGCGCCGCTGTGGTTCTTCTGTCTCCCGTCGGCTTCAGAGGGAGTTTGAGCACTGAAGGAATCCGACCTGTGTTCGTGTTTGTTTGTTGTTTTCTGAGAGAGATCTTCTAACTTTAATCTTCATGGTTAATGGAGCTAAGAAAGATCTCGCCCCTTCTTCGGTGAGCAGAGTACCTGCTGTCACAGAGCCAGCTCGCAGCCTCGGGGCTCTGCGGGATTTCCTCCGTTAGGCAGTAGCTGTTTGGAGGTGGCTCAGTGAGGCTACTGCTCCAGGTTTTCTTTTGAAAAACTCCTCCTTCTCCATTTCTGAAGTTGGTCTGTGATAGGCTTCCTCGCCTCACCCACCGTCCCACCCAGTGCTGGGTGCCTGCCCTGGCAAACCTCCAGGCAGTTCGAGAAGGCAGGAGGCTGAAAACGTATGTGTGGGGTTTTAGAACAGGGCTTGCCTCTGGCTGGTGTCCTTGTCCTCACATTTGTGCGTGGGAGGATTATTTTTGTGTGTGTGTGTGTGTGTGCAATTGTAAAATTAGGAAATACACTACAGTTTCCTTAAGCAGTTCCTGTGCCCTGTTCCTGGCCTGGCAGCTCGTCCTGTGAGCGCCTGCCGGTCACTCGTGGCTCCGTTCGTGGTGCAGAGCGCTCTTGGGGTCTTTAAAGCACTTCATCTCGTGGTCTCAACTACAGTGAATGCCTGAAACACTAATCTTGCTTGGAAGCAGTGCTATATTTTGGTATTTAAACAAAAATACAAAAAGGATTTTATTTTTCTTAGCATTTTGCGTGATAGACGTCTCCTCTTCAGTTCTTACTGGAGGTGTTGAACCTTTTCAGAAATTGCAAAGGTAGCTCTTGCCACAGTGTCTGTAAGGCCCGATGTGTCCAGATTCTTTATTAGGCTCGGTAACGTTCCAGTGATTTTTCTCTGGGGAAGTCGGAGCGTTCTGAACACGGCAGCTGCACCGTTGTGCGAGCACACACCTACGCGCTGGTTCGGCCCCGCCGGCAGGAGCTGGGCTGGTGCCACCACCGTGGCCTCGCCGGGGTCTCATGGGGCGGGGAGCCTGCGTGGCCGGCGTCTGGGACATCTGGAGGTTCACGGAACACCCGAAAACTTGTCCCACGCTGTGCGTCACGGCCTCCTGCTGCCCCTGTGCCGCGCCGCCCGGCCTTTCTCCTCGCTTTGTGTTCACACTTCTTACAGGTGCTCCTTTTTGCCACCAAAAAGAGATGAGTAGTACCTGGCAGCTGGGCTCGGACTTGAAAGGGAAAATAGGAGATTGGTTTATAAGCCTGTACAGCCAAAGGTCTGAACTGGATTTTGCGCTATTGGGGAGAAGGTGCATCTGTCAAAAAAACTTGGAAGAACGTTCTGGGATAAGAAAATACCAAATTCAAAGTGTCTTGGCAGCTGTTCGCCAGATGCAAACTGTTGAAATGCACGTTTTTAACCCCATCTTTGCGAACTGGGTAACAATAATGAATTCCTTTGTAAGGAAAAGATTTAGCAGCTGTTTCCGTTCATTGCCGTCAGCAGAGGAGTCATCAGCTGCTGAACTAAATTTGCCTGGTCTCCGAGATAAGCGAGATTGGATAGTTTGGGCGTTTCGTGCTGGGGCCTGGAAGAAACCCGCAGAACTGCAGCTGATTTTCATCGAGAACGTCAGTCTGCTGCTCGAGACCGCTGGTTCCTTAACGGGAACGTGCTTCACGCTTCTCCCTCACTTGTGGTTTACGTTTCTGAGCTAGCCCCTGGCCTCGGGCGAGCCCCCGGCCGAGCTGCTCGTCGGGGTGCCCGGGGTTCTCTTGTTTACTGGAGTTTTCCTCCACAGCTCGCACCTCGCGCAGCGCGGGCGCAGGGGGTGCTGCTGCCCTTCCCTCGGTCCGTGGTGCCAGCATTCCTTGTTGTAGCTCTCAGACGATCAGCGCAGGCTTGTCCCGTGATCCAGCTGCTGAAGGCGTTCGCGGCTCAGGAAGGGTAACGTTCGAGGCAATTTTGTGGGCAAATTCCCTTCTCTGGTCACCGCCGTGGTCTTGGAGAATCTGGTTAGAACGGAGTAATCGGGCTGGAATTTAATTTTGGCCTTTCTTCTCAAAAGCTTCTTGTATCTTGAGTTCAGGATCGAATGGGAAGGACTAGACGTAATTAACAATGAGCGTAAAATCTGTATATATTGAAACTTTACAGAACTATGTGGGTGGGCTGGGGGAGGAGGGTGGGAGGAGGGATGTGCGACGCTGGTACGAAGTAGTCACTTTAACATTGAAACCTCTGCCTCATTGAATTCAGGGTTTAATGTACTTGAAGCTCTGCGGTTCCTTATACAGCTTATTTTTTATTTATACATAACTTTTTTTGTATCCTGCATTGAGGATGTCTTTTGACTTCCCCGAAGTTACTTCCTGCTCCCACTGTACAGTGAATCTACGGCAAATGGGAGAGATTTTCGGCGCAGCTGTCCCGGCCGTGTGTGTGTTCGGGTGCGTTGCATGAGAGACGGCGACCTCGGGGTCGTGCCGTCCCTTCGCTTTGGGTTTTCCATCGACTTCTTCCCCCTTCCGTTTATCTTTGTGTAGCAAAAACATTTGCACTTACTATACACTCCTACACTTTGGATGTATTCACAATGTCGTTCTGAGGAAAAAAAAGGTTAAAAAAAAAAAAGGTAAAAAAAAACAGAAAAGAAAAAAGAGAGAGAGAAAAAAAAAGCTGTTTCCTATTCTCTTGTGTTCCTGAGTGCCAGGCTCAGGTGGTGTTACCCCTGGGAGGGGCTGTCTCACTGCTCTGGAGAGAGGGGAGTCCTTACGCTGAAACTCTGCCTGTGCTTTGCATAGAAGACTCCTGTAACTAATGTGAAATCCAAAAGGGAAAACG